TTGTACTTTGTATTATGTGAAAATGTTAACACATGAATATCTCATTCGTTTAAAGTCGGATTGACATGCGGTTTTTTCCAGAGTGTAGTTTAGAGTTTGTACATGATTTTAGACTATAATTTTGTCAATTTTGGTTTCATATTCAATGAGTTACAGTCCCCCAAAGTTGGGATATCAATATGAAAATTTTCAAAGTTCAACCCACTAAGTAGTAAGTAATAACCAAAAAATTCCGGTTTTTCCGGGTTTTTCGGTTCTAAACCCACTTTATCCGGTTCCAACCTACTCACTTTGATGTTTCCGGGTTTTCCGGTTCTAGACCCACTTTACCCGGTACCGTACCCGGAACCGAACCGGAACCGGTTCCTATATACCGGTCCGGTTTCCGGTTCTACAAAATCCCGTTAAACGGTTCCGGGTTTTCCGGGTCCGGGTCCATCCGGTCCGGGTTTGGACCCACTTTCATCCCTAACAGGGACCATTTATGATCTTTTCAGTTATTTTTAAAAAAAGAATAAAAAATAAAATAATATGCAAAGGGTCTCTCTCTCTCTCTCCATCGTTACCACATCCACTCAATCTTGTCTTTGTTGCATCCCAGATCCTGCTATAGGACATATTTATTGCTCTTTTCAAACAAACCACATCATTTGTGTGTTGAAGAGCAAACCCACATGAAACCCATAAGAACCATATCAAAGTGTTGGATGGGTGCTTTACAGGTTATGGTGCTGGAGTTGGATGGCCTTTCAAACCATCACAATGGGTGGAGTTGGAACACCAAGCTTTGATATAAAAATACATCACTGCTAATGTTACGATTCCTTCTAATATCCTTATTCCGATAAAAAAAACCCTTGAATATGCTGCTTTTTCTGCATATTCAGGAACATATATCCGACAAAATTCTTATGGTTTTACTAACCGTTTGAATCTGCTTCTTTATTTTGAGATTTAAACTTCGATTTGGGGTTTTTCAAGGTGGATAAACTTGTTAATTTTTTTATTTTAAGTAGTTGGATGGGGTGTGTTGCATCTAGATTTCAGCAACAACTCTGATCCGAGCCGGGGAGGTGCCGGAGGACAGACGGGAAGAAGTGGCGGTGCGCCAAAGACTCCATTGTTTGCTTCTCACGAGAACCACCACAGTTTGTCAACATTCTTGGACATCTCCGTCTTTGTTCTTCAGAAACACCACTATCAAAGAAATTACCTTTCATCAACATCGAGTTCTAATTTCCAGACGTTTCATTCACCTACTAACTCCTACAGTGCCATCGTCCTTCTGTTTCTTATTCATCGGAAGGGAGGGTAAGAGTTTCATCGACATTGATTTCTCCGGTGACTCCATTGGGTAAGTTCTTCCAACGATTCATACTAGAGGATGATTCTCAGAATGTGTTTCCCTTTGGCGGTGTGTGTGTGTGTTGGTGTTCTTGCACTGGTCTCGACGGTAATGGATGATGGAGAAAAGAGAACGAACAGGTGGGTGAGGAAAAAAGGTTATCGTTGGGAGTGATGTGAGAGAGAGAGAGAGACCCTTTGCATATTATTTTATTTTTTATTCTTTTTTTAAAAAATAACTGAAAAGATCATAAATGGTCCCTGTGGTGTGAAATGACGAAAATGCCCCTCAATTAACGGACAAAAGTTAACCGAGTTAGCAATAACGACCAATCGTCAAAAGTTTTGAAAACACAGGGACCATCTATGAGGTTTTTAAACCACGGGGACTAAACTTCAGATTTTGGAAAACCACAGGGACCATTTATGATGTTTTTTCTTTCCTAAAACTAATTTATATAGTAAGAAAATCATTAAAACATAAATAATAAAAAAATACAAAAACATATTTTTACGTGAAATTTTTTTATATAAAACAAATATATTTTTTGCGTACTATAAAAAAATTATACAAATAATTTTTATGCTTATTTATTTATTTTTTTATGTAAATATGTTTTTTATATATTTAAATAATACATTTTCATATAATATGTTATTACGTTGTATTGGAATGCAAAATCGGTCGAATTGTTTTAAAAATTAAAATATATCGCATTAATTTCTTTATAAAGATTTGACAATAGTAATCCGGGCATTGTTCGTTGGTATTATAATAACATATTTTCATTTTAGGATGAAAAATATACTTATATCGTCATTAAGCTAACGCTTATAAATAACATTTTATTTTTTATTTTTCATTTTTATAAAAATAAACAAGATCTCATAAATTCCGGCCAAAAAAAACAAGTTATGTTTTTTTAATACGTATTTTTTAAACCGAAAAACGGTATTTGGAAAACCTATTGGGCCAATATAAAAAAAGCATATTTATATAAAATAAATACATAAAAAGTATAAGTTAATTGTATAAATTTATTAGTATAAGTTAATTGTATAAATTTATTATTTTTACAATATGCAAAAATATATTCGTTTTATTAAAAAAAAAGTTTTATGTTTTTTTAGGATTACGTTTTTGGATTATAACGGCGTTAAGATATTATACGAAAACGTATTATATGCAATAACGTATTATACGAAAACGTATTTTACGAAAACATATTTTTTATACGAAAAAGTATTTTTTAAAGACAAAAAAAAATATTTTACGTAAAATAAATACATAAAAATACATACAACTTGTTTGTAAAAGACTATTTTTTTTATAATACGACTAAAATACATTTTGTTTTATTTTAAAAAAATTATGTAAGAAAAATGTTTTTTTAATTTATTTATTATTTAAGTATTAACGTTTTCGTTACTATATAAATTATTTTTAGGAAGGCATAACCAAGTGAGCATTCAGCTCAATTGGTTAATGCTCTTGTAATATAAGGGGTTAGAGGTCGTGATTTCGAGCCTTCCCCTTCCTTCAACAAATTAATTAACTTTCTTAAACAAACTTAAAAAATGGTCCTTATGGTTTATCAAATGTCACGAATTCAGTTTTTTTATACTTGAAAAGACCAAAACACCCTTACAGATTCAGTCTCTAACGGCGTTTTACTAACAGTGTTAGTAAAAAAGGCCAACTTTGCAAGTTTTGCAAACCACAAGGACCATTTGCATCAAAAACTTTGCAAGTTTTGCAAAACACAAGGACCATTTGCATCAAAAAAATCAAAAGGGACTGACTTTGTGACTTTTGCAAACCACAAGGACCATTTTTGTAATTTTGTCTAAAATATAAAGATAATAAATAATAGACAAAATTACATAAATGGACCCTATGGCTTGAACAAATTACATAAACGGTCCCTATGACAGGAAGGATAAATGTGTCATTTCACAAAGGGCTTAACTGGAAAAGTTAACACCGTTAATCAAAATGACCGTATTTGCAACATTTTAAAACCACAAGGACCATCTGCAAACAATTTGTCATAAGGACTACAATTGGTCTATCCTGTCAACCACAAGGACCATTTATGTGATTTAGTCGAGTTAATATGATTAGAAGATTTGCTTCTTGCCGACTACCTTGCTAATTTGTTGATTTATTGTTGCTATTATGGATGTTTGTGATTAAAAAAAACAAAGGATTTGAGAGGTAAAATAGAAAACTAAGGACACAAATGATGATGATAGTGGCATTAAAAGCTATTATTTTATTAGACAGTATATATAGATATAGATACAAATATAAATATTAATTTTTATAAAATTACCAAACATTAAATTACAATAAGTTACTTATAAACTAGTTTATTTGCGCCAAACAAAACCAAAATATGTATAACTTACCTTATAAAATGATTTTCTCAGGATAATAAATAACTTTGAAAATACAGTGTTATAAATATTTAACTATATGCATTTCGATATAGAGATATTTTTCGTCTGTAAATAAAATTTTATATAAATAAAGTTGTGTTTTTTTAGTTGTGTTGATATAAGCAAATGACTATTTTATCATTTATTTTATCCTTATTTTATTAGCCATAAGATAAGATGATACTATTGGTATCCAATTCTGTACTCCGTGCCAGCAACATACACCGCCTCATGTGAAGGCATGGTTCAGCATAGGGGTGAGCATTTGGACCGAACCGGATCGGACCGGACCGACGCTTGGACCGGACCGGTTATGGAGAATATTGTGGACCATGGACCGGACCGGATGAGTCGTGTCCGTGTCCGTGTCCGGGTCCGGGTCCAGGTCCGAGTTTTTCGGTTCTTGGACCCGTTTGGACCGGTACAACTTTAATTGCGTAGAGTACAAGTCGTTAAAATAAGTTTTTAGGTTTGATACGATACAACTTGTAAAAATGAGTATGTTTCCGTTTCATGCATAACTAATCTACCTTGATGTTATAATATTATAAGTTGCAAAATTAATTTTCCAAATAAAATCAACTAACATATAAATCAAATTCACCAAGATCCCTTTCATATGATTTATCTATCAAAGATACATAAAATTCAGAATTATAGTATAAAATGATAGTTAAAAAGTTGAAATATTTCAGCTTTGATAGATCAACTTTGAAGGATTGTAACTCACTGAATATAATACCAAAATCAACAAAATTATAGTCTAAATTTATCTACAAACTGTAAACTAAATGTTGGAAAAAACCTCAGGTCAATCCGACTTAAAACGAATGAGTTATGGTTGTTTAAAAAATTTCATAGATTACAAAATTTTGAAAAACTTGCAGAAAAGCTGAAAATTTTCAGCTTTGATAGCTCATCTTTGAAAGACTGTAACTCATTGAATATAATACCAAAATCAACAAAATTATAGTCTAAATTCATCTACAAACTGTAAATTAAACATTGGAAAAAACCGCATGTCAATCCGACTTAAAATGAATGAGTTATAGTTGTTTAAAAACTTTCATAGATTACAAAATTTTAAAAATGTTCCTGAAAAGCTGAAATTTTTCAGTTTTGATAGCTCAACTTTGAAAGTCTGTAACTCATTGAATACTATACCAAAATCAACAAAACTATAGTCTAAATTCATCTACAAACTGTAAGTTAGACGTTGGAAAAAACTGCGTGTCAATCCGATTTAAAACGAATGAGTTATGATTGTTTAAAAAATTTCTCAAATTACAATTTTTTTTTTTAAATCGGGTCCAACCGGTTTTAAACCCGGTAAAAACCGGACCGGGATGGATTCCTAGAACCGAGAACCGGACCGGGGGTCCAAAAAACGGTCCGGTCCGGTCCAAATGCTCACCCCTAGTTCAGCAGCACTGTACATCGGCAAAGGTATGCAGCTAACTTTTCCATTGGTTGTGTTGGCAGGCTCACACTCTCTTCTCTCTTTTACCAACCATCAACACCGCTCCATTGGCATGGCAGAGGTTGAGTGGATGCCATGAAATGTTTCACTGTTCAATTGTTCAATACCTATTCGATCCTTTTGAATCAATACCACCAATTCATGCATACATCATTTACAAACAAAAACCCCCCTCAACAGTGAAGGTGAAACCTCAACAAATCGACAACCTCCAAACCCAAATCAACGTTCTAACGAATACCCTAAAACCCAAAATCGAATTTACCTTTTCAAATTTCAACTAACCTATCAACAACTAGATCTACCTATCGAGCAGAAGGGAGTGCAACAGACTCATGAAACGACAAGTAAGGATCGCCACCATGATCAAGTAATCCCATATTCAACGAAGAATGAAAAGATGTCCGTGAAATTTCATCAGAACTACCTCCCTCTCCACCCTTCTCTATTGCAATCGCATCTTGAATCTCCTTAATAACTTCAGACATTGAAGGTCTCGTGTTTGCGTGAGGTTGGACACACATCAACGCTTTCTCTGCTATCTTCCACATCGATTGGATATCATAATCGTCTCCTAAACACGGATCAATTATCCCTTGAATGTCCCCGTTCTCTATATGAAACTTCGCCTGCAAAAAAACCAACCCTAGTTACCTCTCATGGATTCAACCATTTTTTTTTCTTTTGTTTTTCACTTAAGAGACTTACCCACTGCACAATGTTGCGGCAATTTATACCAAAGCTTTCGTTAGAAATGGCTTCTTTACCAGAAACCAGCTCAAGAAGAATGACTCCAAAACTATAGAGATCGCTTTTTTCTGTCAAATGGTTCGAGATGTAATATCTACAAATCACAAGTAATATGAAGATGAGAATCAACAAAATTATTCAAGAAATAAGATATTAAATCGAACATTGACTTACTCAGGATCAAGATACCCAAGAGTGCCTCGAACTATGCTTGATACATGTGAAGTTCCATCAACTGCAAGTTTTGAGAGACCAAAATCTGAAACTTTGGCTTTCATGTTGTGATCAAGAAGAATGTTGCTTGTTTTCAAGTCTCTATGGATAATGGAAGGGACACAACCAGTATGAAGGTACTCGATTCCTAAAACAAAAAAACAGATATATCATATATCAGTAAGAAAGGTTAAGTGCAAGAAATATCATTTCTTCTTACTATAACAAATAGATGTGAACAAACAAGCTACTTTCATTGCTATAATCAGATACCTTATTTAGAGTAGAAATGCCTTAACAAGAAAAACAAACCTTTGGCAGATTCTTGAGCAATCTCGAGGCGCTTGATCCATTTGATTTTTTGTTCTTTTGCTAAAGGTCCTAATTTGTACACAACCCTTTGTTAATCAATGCCAAAAAGACTCAAAAAGTCAAATGAGTCAAAACCAAAAGGGCAATCTGATGAGGTAAATTAACAACTTACCATAAAGATGTTCTTTAAGAGTTCCATTATGCATGAATTCATAAACAAGAATATCCATCCCTTCTTCTTGGCAAAACCCATAGAATTTTACCAAGTTTCTATGATGTATTCTTGACAGAAGACTCACCTTCATAAATTGAATTCAAAAATATTTACGTCTATTGATAAAAAAAAAACAAAAAAAAAAAAACAAAATTTGTTGATAAAAAAGTTAACCTCATTTGCAAATTCCTTCTTTCCCTGATGAATGTTGTTACTTCCAAGAAGCTTGACTGCAATCTCCTTTCCATCATTCAACTTACCATAATATACAGTTCCAAATCCACCAGATCCAAGTTTCTTCTCAAAATCCTTTGTTGCAATTCTAATTTCAGATAGTGTAAAACATCGGGCACCTTCTGAAGTTGTTGTTGTTGTGTTCATAGAAGAAACATGCATGATGTGTTTAGGCTCTAACAAACAAAAAAAAAGAAGAATTAAATAAAAAATTATCATGAGACTATGAATCCTAAAATTGCAAAACTTACAGTAAAAAAATACTACCTTGCTTGTGATCTTTCTTCCCTTTGCGAATAAGCAGGCATGAGATTATGAACCCTAAAATTAAAATAGCAGCCCCAACCAGTAATCCAAAGATAATGTATACAATGTTTCTTCCGTCATTACTTTGTTTATGAAGATTTTTGTTTCCAGTGTAGCTGATAAATCCAAAATCCACAAATAACAACTTAAAGATTGATGAGAATCGTATATATTTTTAAAGTAAATGAAAAAAAAAATAATACCAACTTTAAGACTATGTTCTTGTTCAGAAGACCAGGTGGCACGGATCCAGATAACAAGTTATTCTGCACATACCTGCATAGTGCATAGATTGACTTGTTGAAGTCAAATGTTGACTCTTCCATTTTCAAAGTCAAAATGAAAATAGAGTACTTACAGTTTACTTAAATTAGGTAAGTTTGCTAAAGAGGAAGGTAGATGACCAGTCAACCGATTGTTTTCAAGATGTCTGCATAAAAATCTATCAGATATGAATATGATCACAAATTATAGAATAAGAATTAACAAGAGAATAAGTAAAAACTTATTTTACATGATTTTTAAATTCGGGCATCCTGTAAAATCAGGGATTTGACCAGTCAACGCATTCCCATCAAGCCACCTATTACAAGGAAAATGTATTTTAGACTATTTAATAATAATGTAACAAGAATAAGTAATTTTGGTTATGTACTTATTATGTATGTATATGATAATTGATACTTACAATTCTTCTAAGCTGGTCAACTTGGTCAAATCCAAAGGGATGCTTCCAGTCATGTTCTTATTAGACAATTTTCTGCATTGAAGGGTATAATAGTCAATGCGCACATCAACATAACATATAAAGTTTCAAATATGAAAAACTTACATTGATATAACCTTGGGTTGAGGATCGGAATCACATTCCAACCATGACCATGGAACCGGTAAGCACGGATCGCCACCTTCTTGGGCCCACTCTAACGACTTGTAAACAGATACTATACTCGCAACCACACCCCCTGAAACATCATCAAAAAGACTATAATACCCTTATATTGTTTACAAGAAAAAGGAGGGTAGAAATAGAGTAGTTATACCATCAAAAGAAGCATCAGCTATTTCCAGATATCTACTGATTTCAATCGCATTAAGAAGAGGGCCTTCAGTAGAATCAGATGTCTTCCCGAATCTAAAGGATAAAACAAAAGGAAGTGAAATGTTATAAAATCCGGGTTCATATAAACGGTATTTCCCCTGAGCGTTTTCTTGAATGTTGACAATGGCTTTACTGATATCCGGAGCTCCGGGAAGAATTAGCCGGAATTTACGGGTTTTATTCTGATTTAAATCTTCAATTTCTGCAAAATAAGTGTAAGCCCAACCAAAACCCGGGAACCCGTCCAAATTCAATCGGTAAGTTAATGACCCGTTTCGACCCACGACAGCTGTCTGCATGACCTTCTGAGGGGGTAATTCGTCGTTTCCGACATCAATCGGTAATTTAGTGGAAACTTTTTGGGTCCCGGAAGCCACGTCGACAAGGTAATTTGCTTTTTTAACCAAATCCGATTGCCAAATTCTATCGAACGGGTCATCCGGGTACCTTACCGGATCTTCATTTTCTGCCCCGAAATTGATTCTAGCAGAAACACTTAGAAAAAATTGGTTCTCGAATGGCGTAAGGTAAATGGAGCCATTGAATTGTCGAAGCTCGAGTGTTGAGATGAAAGGAAGGCCTGTTTTGGAATTGGATAAACAGATACTGATTGTAGGATCAGAAGCTAAAAAGATGAGTTCTTGAGATTCTATGGTGTTAGCGTCTGAGATGACGATTGTTGACCAGTGAGTGGGGCCCAGTGAGATGTCGAATTTAGGGTATACGTTGTTGTTATCGAAGTTACCATATAAGAATGTAGCTCTTATGAGGTATCGAGTCCTGGTTTTCACGTTAAGTGAGTAGCAGTATTTCCGGTTATCCGCCGGAAAATATCGGAGTGTTTGATATTGTCGTCTGTTTTCGTTTTCTATGGAGATTTTAGTCGTTGTTCCGTATTTGATTTCATCGTCGGGAGTCCACTCCAGTCCGAGGTTGTCTGTGTGGTTCTTGTCGCCACCGCAATCTAGACTTATAAAACCTGCTACACGTAAGTAAAACAAGATTTATTATGCACCTTTCTTGATTCAAGATTCATGTTCATCCAAAAAGAATAAAGTTTAAGAACCCTAAAAACATGTTAGTCAATGTTTAAGAAAAGTGATCATCGAATCAAGAAAACAGAGGATTTATCTAGAAAACAGTCAAATCAAGAAAAGTAAAACACAGAGATAACATAAATAAGAATAATCTGGAAGGAAAAAGGTGAACCTGGCATCTGGGATTTGGTGAACTCCATGAAACTGTGAAGAAGAAGAAGAATCGAGACGAACAAGAAACGATTAAACCCCATTCGGGTTTTATTCTATAATCTATATCTGCAAACGAGGTGGAAAACAGGGTTTAACAGAAGATCAAATCACAAAAACCCCATGAAAAAGTGGCTGCATTGTGAATGAAAATATGAAAAAGATTGAATCTTTTAAACCCTAGAAACAAAAAGAAATTCTTCCCCTTTCTCTAAAGTTGAACAAGTTTTAGTTTAGTGGAAAAGGCGAAAAGAAACTGATGATTTTTACTTTTTAGGGGAATAATAACGTGGAGTGAACTGAGTATGAACAAGGAGAATGATTCAGGAAGAAGGCTTTGTTTAGTGTTTACCATTAACAAGAAACAGGCGGGGCCTACTTGAATGTGCAAGCACTTCAGTTGGAGTTTAGGCTGGCTTATCTTTAATAATTTCACTTGTTATGATCATTTCGTCTAAAAAATCAAACGCCTTTTTAGTCGTTTTGATAATGATTATATGATATTTTTTAGGGAAGACTCAAGACTATAAACTTCATCATATCATATGGTATACTTAAGTTAGATGTTCAGTTCTAAAAAAAAGTTTCGCAATTTCAGTTCCAAATTTTGCAATCTCAGTCACATATATGTTTTTTTTTGGGTCAAAATTAATGATTTTTCATTTTTGTTTGAATTTATGATTAAATCTAACTATTTGACATTGCATTTAATCAAATTATATGCTCACGTTTTAGAAAAATGACATGCCCTAGTTTTTATACCTTTTTTTTATCATGTTGTTTGAAAAGGACGGGAAACAATATTTAAAACATAAATAAGATTTTAGAAATAATAAAAATCAGATCTAAAACATATTTACCCCATATTAAAACCATTTTATTCAAAAAAAAAAATCAAACATTAGTTTTCTCTTTCAAGAATGAAATTATGTAAAGCATAGTTGTAAAATCACGAGTCAAGAAAAATGATGAAGGCGCATAAAATAAAAGAATGAGAAAATTACAAATATAGTCTAATCTCTTAATTATTCCGTGGAAAATAGCCAAAAAACACACAAATAATAAATATAGCCATGAAAATCGTAGATGTATTAAGCCCATCTGCGATTTTAGCATTCCATCTGTGAACGTACAAGTCGCTAAAGCACAACCATGGTTTAGCGACTTCTACATTCGCAGGTGGTTTTTTTTTAGTTTTTTTTTTTTATTTTTTCTGTATAAATACCCCCATCTCTGACTAAAATCGTAGATGAACTAAGTTCATCTGCGATTTCCTCTCATCCAACTTGTGATTTGCGTTTTATTTTTATTTATTTATTTGTTATTTTATTTATTTGATTTTGACTACGAAACAACCTTATTGTATATATATAAAGTTTTTGCAAAAAATTATCACTTTAGTTGTTATTTCTTTGGAAAATTTGTTTAAAAAATTTCTAATAAAATGAATTCTCGAACAAAAAGTTTGAAAAATGATTGAAAACATAGTGCCTCCAGAGAGAGAGAATTCTCCAACAAAAAGTTTGAAAAATAAAAGAAAAAAATTACATTTGTATACCCCTGAAAAATAGGAAATCACAGATGGACGCAAAATCGCAGATGGCAAGTAAAATCGCAGAAGGACTGAGTCCATCTACAATTTTGGTGGCTATTTTTGTAATTTGGGTTTTTTTTGGCTATTTTCCACAAAATAATTAAGGGATTAGACTATTTTTATAAATTCCTCTGAAAGAATCAAGTCTACCTCCAAAGACTCCAAGTTTAAAGAACTAAACACCAAAATCATGCATATCACCAAAATCACCGGTACACCACATATTTTTTGTCTATCCAACCTTAAAAGTGTGTGTAAAATAACTTGCTCAAAAAAATAAGGAGAAAAGTAAATAATAATAATAATAATAATAATAATAATAATAATAATAATAATAATGTGAGTGTAATCTAAATTGTTCGAAATAAATAATAAATTAAGTTCCATTAAATTAACCTTGGAAGACCAAATTGTTATCAAATAGTATTTTAGATTAAGAATGCAAAATCTGAAATTTTTTGAACCTGTTCATAGCAATGGAAATTTTTTTGACTAAATTTTCAAGTTTAACATTAAATTTGTTTGTTTTTTATATACTAGATGCTTAAAATCCCGAGTTGAAGAAACTAACAACAAAACAAAAACTAAGTTGGACCGAAAACGATAGCAAATGGAATACCGAACAATCAATCTAGAAACAATAGCCACCATATGAATTTATGTGGTTCCACTAATGATGTGATAGTGAATAAGTGTGAGATATGCCTATTAAGATATCTTCTTTTCAACATATGTTTTTGTTCATTTATAAATAATGTCGATGTATGTATATTAAGACATCTTATTTTCAACATATGTATATGTTCGTTCATGAATACTTGTAATATTATGCCTATTAAGGCATCTCACTATGTGATTTATGCTCATTTGTGAATACTTGTCAGATATTGTTGTGAGGTTGGTGGTGTTCTTCAAGACCCAAGATCGCAAAAGAAGAAATAGGATACACTTTAATGTGTGTGAGCTATGGAAGAAAAAGGGCCCTTCAACTATTGTTTGATGTATGTTTTGGTAAAATTCTTACTAATTTTCACATTGTACTTTGTCATTTTTAGTTTAAGAAACCAATTTTCCATAATGCGATGCGAAAGCATCCTATGAAGCTACTACATTCGTATTTCTAATTTGCCATTATTAACTTTGAAATATATTTGTATTCGAGTTGCCATTAAACCAAAAATAAAGACACCTAAGTAAGAATGAGTTATAAGATGGCATGATGCGATAACATATTTTGCCAATAACGATTTTCTAGTGGTGTCTATAACTTTACAATTGGCCAAATGTAAAATATATGAGTATTTTATTTTATTTTTTTGTATATTAAAAATTTTAAGCGATTTTATGGCAATTTTCAAGGCTGGCTGGATTTATTTTGCTTTTTATATATTCTAAGAACTTACTCTGAATATAGTTTTTTTTTTTTTTGGGTGGAGATGATATGCATTTTCTCTTTTTGCGTTTAAACAAGAAATACACATTCTTTTTTTAGTATAAAGATGATAAACTTAATAAAAGATACCGAATTCAAAGACTACATGACATGTTCAATCATTTTTTTAAACAAGTATCGAAACCTCAACCATATATTATTGGAACCGAAATCTCAAATGTGCAATTACCAATTACCAATTACCAATATAGTTTTAGCATAGAGCCCAACAAACAAACAACATTAATGAGCCTTGTAGCTTGTACATAAAGTTGCAGAAACATAGTGGTATATAACCATTGGTTTTTTTTTTTTTTAAGATAACTACTGGTTAATTGAATTTATAGAAAATGTATTTCTTTTGTACACGTGATGTAAACGTTACACATTTAATAACCATGATATTTCCCCATCCACCAGAGATCCTACACGTACAAATACAAGGTACAACGAAAACAGCTTTGTCATGTTACATGAAAATTAGTACATCATATGTTTTCATGTTGTAACTTATAAGTTGCAGCATGCAGGTGTTTGTACATTTAATCTTGAAACCCTACCATTGAATGGGTGAAAAACAAAATGTACATTCCAAACCCACAAGGACAAACAGTTATATATCTACTTGTACAATGTTAGTATGTACGATGTTACCACCCCCAGGGACATTTTTGACTTTTCATATCAAATCAAAATCAATGTTAAACAATTCAAGCAGATGTTACCGGTTACCACAACACTTTATTCAAAAACTTGTACCCCCTAATCAATGTGCAAAGGTCATATAGCTTTTCAAAAATATGTCAAACTAACTAACTGCCTAATTATGTTTTTATATGCTGTATCTGCTTGTACCTTTAGCTCCTAAAGTAGTACTCACATGTACCACTTCTAATTGATGGATTGTAGTGATGGTAAGTCAGAAATGGAACAGCAGTTGATGATGCTGATGATGATGATGTTGATGATGAAGCATTGCTTGTTGAATTACCGAATCCTGATGATGCTGCAGCAAAGAGATGAGGACCTTGAAACTGCCATGCCCAATTTTTAGTTGGACATTCCATACCCTTCTCTATTGCTGTTCCCTGAATTATAAAATGGACACAAGTCATGACTAAAATCGTAATTTGGACACATTCTAACCAACTGCAAGTTTTTATTAACCAAAAAAAGGTACCTGGTAAACTGGAAAAAAACCAACACCACTTTGAGTTCCTAATGTCATGGGTGTAGAGTGGTTTTCAATCTGAATATTGTATAAAAAAAAAAGATGAGTTAAACAGATGGATAACTATGAACAAAGATAAGTTAACAACAATTTACATAATTACCCTTGTTCTTTTATCCTCAGACATGTCACCTAAGAGCCAGTTGATTTGGTTCAAACTCCCAGAAGTCTGATTTGCCTTATTATCTAATGGTAAACAGGGAGGACCAATACCCAGATTCAAATCCATGGAAGCTGTAATTCAGGATACAAATCACCACAAAAAGTATTTAAAGTTTACATGGAATGGAATCAGGAAATCCAGGGGTTAATTAGTAATTTAGTTACCTCCATCTCCATTGTCAGTCACAAGAGTTAGCTCACCCTCGTATGAACTTGGTTCAAAGTTGGTGACTGCTTCTCTCCCATTGCATTTTATAGCAGCTTTGTCATAAGCCCTAATAAATAAATTATCAACAATCAAATGGTGGTTTCAAAAAAAGAATGAGAGGCTCAAAAGTCAAAAGTCAAACCTTGCAGCTTCAATTTCAGAGTCAAACAATCCAAGATAGATGTACTTTTTTCCAAGAAATTGGCCCATTCGAGCTTCCCATCGACCACATTTATGCAGGGTGACTCCTCTGTATTTTGAGCTTCCTCTAGAGAAGCCAGTGCTTTGACGCCTCAGAATGTGAACAAACTCTTCCTTCGTTAAGTTCTTTATCTGTTTCAGATCTTCCTCGTAATCACTTATGTTGAAATTAATATCAGCATCAAGTCCGCGAAACTTAATTGCAGCCCGATCATATGCTCTGTAATTATGTAATAGAAGAGATTAATTTCATATGGAAGGATTCACACTTCACCTCACATGGTAATGTAAGGTCAAGTAAGAAAAAAACAAAAAAAATGATAGTTACCTTGCAGCAGCATGTGCAGTGTCAAATCCACCTGCAAAATCAACCACATACAATCAGACAAAAACAAAAAGGTTAGCTATTGGCCAAAGAAGAGAATCATGTAAAACTTGAATTAGGAAACCCAAAAGAATCCAATGCAATTCGGTATCCATAATTGCTTACCCAGATAAACTTGTTTCCCACAATCCCTGCAGAATTAGAAGGAAAGAAGAAATCAAACAGGGATATAACATTGAAATGCGCAGATGTTTGTCAGTATTTTAATACTCGATTGCATGATCAAACGTTTTAGCCCGTACTCTTATGGTTAGATTTCACGATCGAAACATCTAACTGTTGTGGTGAATAAGTAACAGCATCGGTTTCTTAACAAATTTAGTTACGTGAATTGTTAATGAATCGTGATTTACTACCGAAGCAGTTGATGATCAAATTTATTCATGTATGTAATAATTGACTAACCATATATGCGATTCCCATCTTCCAGTTCTCCGGTAAAAAGTAACACCACGATATTGAGAACTCCGAGGCCTAGGTCCTCTCCTACTCTTCCTCACCTGCTGTCTCTGCTGCTGCCTTAACATGAATTCTCTTCTTTCGTCTACGGCACTTCCATCAACAACATCCAACCACTGATGCCGCTGCAAGCCACCGTCTCTATCACTCTCCGGGAAGAGCTGCTTCGTTACCACAGTCCCTGACCTAAAATCCCGATCGTCTTCTCGGTTACTTGGTTTCAATATATCGAAACTATAAGCGAAATGATCGGGACAAGAGTACGAGTGCTCCTCCTCGCCAGCGTTACTCGATATCTCCACATTCACGACGGAGGAATTTGAGGTACCGCCGGAGTATTCCAACCGACCGCCGCTGCCGCATACCTCGAGAAACTGCTTACCGCCATCATTCTCCGCATATTTTGACATCAACCCACTCTGATCAACACTCAGATTAAGGTCCAACATCACTTCAGACTTCAGTTCTCAAAATTCAGCTACAATTTTACTTTTCAAACCTGCATACATACATATTAATAGAAATACGATCAATCAAATTGCAATCAACATCGATATATAAACACCGTGATTAGATAAAATCGATATAAATACACGTATATGCACACAAACGCGGGCAGATATTGTATAGAATGGAAATAAGATAGTTTTCATAATACTTGATCGGATGAAGAGCGAGATACAAGCAGTCGGCGACGGAATCAAGGGACGGCGGTTGTCTGCTTCCATTTTAGGGAGTGGTAGATTTTCGAGAGAGAGGGAGAGAGAGAGAGAGAGAGAGAGAGAGAGGGTATGTATTTGCTGTGTGCTGATAGGCAAGGAAACACTAAACAGCAACAAAAGAGAAATAGACCCATGAAAGACGAGTGTGTGAAGATGGGACGTTTGAAGGAAGCAAACAAGCAAAACGGTAGCGCGTGGATTCTACGATTTAAGGAATGCAGGCTAATTATGTAATTTAGTGTATGTTTGTCAAAAATTACTCGGTAAACACGTAAGAGAGTATCGAGACTAGTTTTATGGGAAATTAAGTAATCTTAATAATAACTAGAAAAGATTCCCGGCGTTGCCGGGGTCGGAAGGTATTGCTTTGTAAAGTAAAGTAGCATGTTGGTTGCTTTTTGTCCGTTAATTTGAGGGTAATTTGGTCTTTTCAGGTAGTAAGGACTGAATTTGTCACCATGGGTAAACCATATGGACCATTTATGTAATTTTGGCGGTGATGGTGGTGGTGGTGATGGCAGATGATCGGTGGGTTTATGGTATTGGGTGGGTATTTTCTAATAAATAAAACATTAATTTAAAACCAAAAAGAGAATGTTAAATCTGGTAAACCACAGGGACCAATCGTGTAATTTTGTCTAACAATAATAATAATAATGATGAGGGACTATTTCTGCCAAAAGACTAAATACTAATAATATGTAATAAAATGCGAAGGTTATGAAAAATTCAAACCAAAGTGAAAGGGTTGTTTGTGAACAAAAGCATAAAGATGAAGAGTCAATGTTGTAAGTTGGAGGAACAAAATTAATGTCAGTTAAAACTTTTCATAATTTTAATATATATATATATATATATATATATATATTAATTTATGTGTATTTTAAGAAAATAATTAAAAATTTTGTTTTTGATGAAACAATCATCAATTAGGAATAGAATGTTTCGGTCCGGTAGAAAATATTTTTTTTTTTGACAAAAAAAATATATTTTAGATAGACATTTCGGATTTCGGATTTAATAAAAAAATAAAATTACTCATGAATTTTAAGAATTAGTTTGAAATTAGATAAACAATTCCATAAATTCAAGAAAAAAAATGCTTTTTTTATTACTAAAATCCAATATTGCGGAACTCGTTGTTCGTTACCCGTTCAATATTACAAGATACAGCAATATTGAATG